CCTACAGCCCTAAACCCCGAAACCCTAAACGGGACCTAGACCGGCTTTCGAGGTACGCGGAGATCCTAGCGAACTCGGGTCGGCTCACTGCCGCCATGCGCTACCTCTGCCTTCTTCCAGGCGTTTTGTTGCGGTACCGTGGCTGTCTTTGGGTGTGGGTTTCGGGTTTAGGGCTTAGCGTATCTAGGCTTTAGTGTGTAGGATTTGGGATTTTACCCTGGAGAGCTGCACAAGGGCACAAGGTCAATGACTCGTAATGAAGTTGGGCAACCAGGATTCTGAGAGCAGAGATCCTTGTAATTGAATAGTTATTACTAGTGTCACTATAGCTACTAGCATCATCATCATCATTATGAGTACTATTAGTTAGTTCATTACTAATATTATCAGTAGTATGTATGTTACTGCTATTGTTACTCTTATAGGTATTGTTTCATTATTGTTGTTGTTACTAGTTTGCTTTGTTCTTCTTCTTATTATTCGTACTACTTGCTATTGTCACCATTGCTGCGATTCTTGTTCTTCTTCTTGTTATTAGTTTGTATGATATATTTGTGTATATTTGTGTTATTCTATTTTTGTACTGATTACTGGTATGATTATTATGATCATTATCATCATTATCATAATTCGCATAAATCCCACTCGTACCATTGTTATTATCATTATTATTATGTATCGTTATTATCAGCACCATTATCATGTAGAGTTAGTGTTATTACTCTGACGTTTGGTTTCGTGTAATTGGTGTTCTCATTATTGTCGTTGTTGTCTTTGTTGGGTACAGGGGCTGGTCTGGATTGTTGTCTGTTATGTTATGGTAAGTGTACCAGAACGTACTACATGTCAAATTAGAATCTGCAGCATGTGCTCCTCCATAGGATATGCCCTAGACCCTAAATCTGTCTGGCCTTAGCCTTACACCTTAACCCCTATACTCTCTAACCTCTTTTTTAGGCTCCAAAACCCACATGCCCTAAAAGCCTACAGTGGCATAGACCCTCAATTCCCATTATAAGGAGCCCCAAACAAAGGTATCCCTTGCGTTAAGACGCCCCCCATTTAACCCCAGACTCTCACCCGAAATGCTGAACCTCAAACTCTATGTGCCCTAGGCCTAAACCCGAATAACCTACATACTCGGTCCCCATAATGGCATACCCTAAACCGGGAATCCTACATAACCCAGATCACATAAACAATCAACCTTGAACCCTGATTTTCAGAAACCTATCTAACTCTATGCCCCTAAACCTTGAGTTTAAGAATCCTACAAACCCTAAACCCAAAACCCCAAATCCTATGAACACCCTAAACCTCTGAGTTTGAGAAGCCCCAAACCCTAAACCCTAAACCCTAAACCCTAAACCTTAAACCCTAAACCCTAAACCCTAAACCCTAAACCCTAAACCCTGGCTCCGCCAGATGACAACTCCTCGGCCACGCTCCGGGATCGGATCTTCAACTCTGCCCCAGCACAGATGGGCCAAATGCCGGCGGCCCAGACTGGAGGGTTTTTTTTTGGGTGTGTATGCCTTTTTGTTGTGGGGTGTAGGGTTTAGGGTGTAGGGTTTAGGGTTTAGGGTTTAGGGTGTAAGGCTTTTTGTTGTTCCGGGTTTGCCTGGTTTTTCTAGTTTGTTGGGGGGCCGCAATAGCGTTTCAGTGAGGTTTGGGAGGTATGTTGTGATATAGGGGCCTTGAAAATTACCTATACTGTTTTGGGGGTTCCTTATGATAAATTATAGTATAATGGGCCCCAAAACCCTATTCTAATTATTAAGGCCCCTACCATTAGCATCCTTGTATGGAGACTCCAGGGGGGGCTATCACGAGTGGTGCGGACTTCCATCTTGAGAATCCGGGAAGGCCGGAGGGTTCAAGGTCTTAAGGTCGGGATTTGGTGTGAAAGGTTTTAGGGTTCTCGCGTTGAGGTTTGAGGATTTTGGTTCTTTGGGGGCTGGTTCCGGTAGGCTACAGAGTGCATAGCTGCACCGGTCTCTACATCTCGGTTCAATCATGCTTTTGTGTTAAGCCCCTAAACCCTAAACCCTAAACCCTAAACACAAGAATCTAGATCGGGGAGACTTCCGAAGCTAGACTTCCGCCAACCGCGAAAGCCCGAAACAGGCCAGACATCGATCCCCCAAGCCCCCAACAAGCCCTAAAACCCACAACCCTAACTTCTAAACCCTCAGCCCTAGACCTCAAAGCTCTTGCCTTGAAGCTGCAAAGAGTGCATTGTGTCCGAGGTTGAGGTCCGCGCCACGGTTTCCTTTCCAGGCGTGGCAGCGCTATCTTTTGCATGTACGTATGTATGGATGTATGGATGTATGGATGGATGGATAGATGGATGTATGTATGGATGTATCTTCATGACGTGTGCTTTGTGGAGTTCTGGATAGGCCGGACTTGCAACGCCAAAGCCAGTCAACTGCAAGGCTACCTTTAGGGGTTTAGGGTTTAGGGGTTAGGGTCCTATCTCATTAGACGTGCCTTTGCTGAACCTGGATTCCAGAGGCCGGGAAAGTGCAAGAAGTGCAAAAACCTGAAACCTGATCACAGTTTCCAAAAACTCGGCCCCAAATTTCTAATCACCCGGTGAAGCTCTCGGACCCTTGAAGCTACTTAAAGGATCATGGGACTTAGTAAGTAGGGTTATAATTAGGGTAACTATACTTATAACCCCAATTAGGGGACTTATAACCTTACTTACTAAGTCCCATAATCCTCCAAATAGGGTTGATGGTTTCGGGTTCCTGCACACCCCGGCTCCTTGTCCAGACCACGGATGTGCGTGCGAGCCTGGAGCCAAGATCGACTTGGGATGTATTTTCGGTCTCAGATGTAAGGGTTTCCGAAAATAGGGAACCCTAATATAGTACCCTAAATAGTAGGATCCTTACTATAAGGACCCCAAAATAAGGTACCCCTAATTTTCGGAAACTCCCATGTAAGGCTGTAAGATTCAGGGTTCAGCGCTTTTGGACTCGATTTCTGGAGCTGCTGTTTTTTTTTCTTGTGTCTTGCTCGAGGATTCAGCTACTTGTAGGGTTTTAATGTTTCATGGTCAAGGGCTTTGGTCTTAGGTTGAAGGCCCGTGCATGCTTGAGAGCACGCCCTGCGCCAGCGCGTGCTTACGATTTGGGGTGTAGGTTTTAGGTTTCGGGGTTTGTTAAGCGGTTGCTTTTTTGCACCATCTTCCTTGCTATTGCTGATTGCTTTGATGCCAGGTTCGGGAGTTGTGAGGCATAGTCTTTCGTCTCAGAAAACCCTAAACCCTAAACCCTAAACCCTAAGCCCTAAACCCTAAACCCTGAACCTTGAATGCTTCGTGGTGTTTCCAGCAGCAGGTGCCGTGGTGCCGCAGGCGCCCAAGATGCCAGCCACAGGCGAGCAAGAGAAGTCGTTTCAATGTGCTTAATGTAGCGGCCTAAAGAATTTCCAATACTATTTTGGTGGTTTAGGGTTTAGGGGTTTAGGGTTTTTTGGTATTTAATTACCGATACTATTTGGGGAGTTCCTTGCTACAATTATAGTATAATGTACCCCCCCAAAACCCTATTCTNNATTCTGATTATTAAGGCCTCTATATTTTGCACACCTGCGCACATGCAGACAATAAATGCAGACATAGAAGGGTGCACAGGGAGCATACACTTTGTGTGTATGCATCCCTCGAGGCACGCACGCACGCACGCACGCA